GAACAGTTACGGGGTACGGTGTTGTTAGGTAGTGCCATTTAAACACACGGTCGCACTCAACTGTCTCTCTTCAATTTAAAGTTCGACACATTAATTACATTACATTTATTCTCTGTGTGAGCAATGTTAGTTCTGTATTTGCATGCGCCCTCTATCATAGCCATACCGTTAGCACGAACAGTGTTCGTAGACGATTGTTTGTCAGTTAGCCAGCGACAAAGGACAAAGGGGTGATGGCCTCCTTCCTCGTCCTAGAAGAATTCGTGTAAGATGTTGATGCAGCTGGAATAAAAACAAGCTCGCGTGTTGAGAATTACGTCTCTTTGTTTTGGCACGTGGCAAAGAGACGTACAATTCATCCACACACAACACCTGTTTGAACAGCGATTTGCATATGAACTAGGACGGTTACAAGTCGCTCTGTTTAAACATGAATGCCCAGTTCACTCATGGAAATGAGCCACCCATATATGGCAATTGGGGCGTCGCGAAACTGATACCGGCACGCGAGAGGGCAGGAGTAGGATAACAAATTGAATGTGGTGAAGGGGTGCTCTTACAAAGTCCGATTGGCTAGGAGAGGAAGAGCGGCATTTGATAGACACTAATGCGTTCATCGTCGCTGAACATTGTCAGTTGGCGTGTATTTGGAATTCATACTACTACTAAACGGCAACCGTGCTCTCACTTGCAACGTACGGGACTGTGCCAGTCTGATTCGCCATTCAGGAGTAATTGTTACACGACATAGAAAGCCACAATCAGTTTAGCTTTGGCTATTACATAGATAAAGTATATTCCTGTAGCTGGAAATATATCTTGCCGGAACCAGAAAATATCGCGAGTTGTTCATCGGGAGCGATAAAGTTGACAACCTGACGAAAATTGGACATACCTTGGAGCAACGCCTACCACCGAGATGGAACCACTATTCGGGGAATGGATAGTTGACAGTCTTTGATTGTTAACGCTGGCAAAAAAATATATTCACGGTACAAGAAAATATTTCGCACGTATAATTATTGTCTGTTAAAAAGGTGGGTATAAAAAGGAAATACCTACGGATTGCAGTAAGATGAAAGTTATTTAATCCTCACAAGAAACACGTATTCCGGGAGATGCAGATATTGATGATGGGAAGGTGTACGAGCGCTACGTCGCTACTTCTACTACTACTTACATGTTTCTTTTTTAACACGCTAGGTAAGTGCATTTCTTGTTTTAATTCAGTGGTTACGATGCCTACCGTCGCTAACCGGCTGACTCGATCATTCTAGGCCGTGTACTCGGAGTAGTCATTACACCTGTAAAGAAAAAAAAAAGAATGGGTGTGGTGAACTAACTAAGCGGGTACCATCGCCGGCACGGACGTGCACGCGGAGGCGGCTAGCGTATCTGTGTCTGTCGAAGCGATGAAGATTTGCGCGTATGTATAGAACATACCGGAAGATCATGCAGCTCTCGACATGTCTGAGAGCTTGTAGCGATGATGGAGCCCAGTTTATCCCCGCTACATCGCATGGGTGTGCAGTCTAGGTCTTCTGAGTTTTCCAATTACATGTACTTAGCCATGTCCGTTGTAGCCAGGGGCGACAGCATCGTATATTATCAGCCTGCATGGTGGGCGCCTTTCAGAATATATATGCCGTAAAATTACGTGTTCGCCGCATGTAGCAAAAGAAGTAAACTTAAACCTATCTGGAAAACAGTATGAAAACGTCATTGTACTGAAGTTATTTCTAGTCGATCACTTGGAATAATAGCTGGTCTAGCATTTATTCTTAATGCCGGTGGACATTCAACGTTGACGTCATTAATGTGGTAAATTTCTGTCCATTTCCTTCCTTTGATACAAACAAGCGACGCCGTATTCAGCAAATTAAGCACATTTTAAGGAGTTCCACTTTTAGTATAATGCCGGAGAGAGTCTGTACGGGCGGTTACTCCAAACTAACAGGAAAGCTGCGGCCTGCATTACTACCAGTATATACCGGCAATTGCTAGATACACAAACCATCGCGTGGCACTGTATTTGAAAAGAAACATAAGATTGCACCGTTATGTAGTAACGCTAGTAGTACCGGCTGTGCACCACGCACGGATGTTATACCACGTTACGTTTAGAGAGTTTCATGGAAGCCCATGGTTCACGATTCAAGTATAAGTATAAAAAAAAAACTTAAAAACAACTCTGTACCTTTTATTGGGGGCACTTTTCCTCAGTAATATTCTCTAGCCGGCGACTGAGAGAGAACGGTTGACACAGCAGTGACCTAATTTGTAGGACTTTAACAAGACATTGCATGATGGGACGGTGACGGGCGTTATCTCAGTTCTTATCTGGGGTTCCACTGATGTTCTGCCAGTACGTGGGCGAAATGGAACAATGCTGTCAGTTTAATAACTATTATCAAGTATGCTAATGTTTCCGAGGGACGTATCCTCGGAGGACTTCGTTCACGGAATCGATGAAGCTGAGGATTGTTTTTCTTTTCTGTTATTTGTGCATTTTATCACTGTGTCAGTAATCGGCAGCGTGGTATCTGGAAATAGTAGAAATAGATTTGGTTTGTTTTGTTTTTCTTCATATGGAAGAAATGAAGTAGTGTTACTCGTGTGTACATTCAATTGATTTCCGTCATTCGGTCATTTTGGCGCCGAAAACTAGAAATCTCTAAAGTATGGAGTGTTCACTATATAGTGCACGTTGGTCAGGTACGGCGGTTATGGTCGAACCACCAGGGACCATGCTTTACTGAATATGACACAAAAAAGACTATTCACACACCGTGTAAGTGTGCGTCTCCGCCCACATACCTCTCGCTAACACGTCAGATGACGAGGTGCCTATAAAATAGGCAGTTGCTAATAAAATATCCGTTTCTCTATTCATACTCTATAGTGTGCCCTACTCTTAACACCCGCGTGCCCAATGTTCACATGAGTGAAATACGACATGGTGATGGTCATTTGTAATTCTGGGACGTGGACCGAATCCACAGTCCACTAATGCGTACAAACACTAGACCAGCATTTGAACAGCAGCACACATTATGATTGTGGCACACAGGCGTTATCGTGTGACCAATCAACAAACGCCTAATTCTGACACACATAGGTCCGACACAGGAATTTCAGGGCGGAGGCGGAGGCGCTCCGTACTTAGCGATACACAGATACAACCCTGCTATAAAGCTTGTATACTCTCCGTCGAATCGAGTCACTTGAATACAACATATGTTGTTACTTCGTTTTGCTGTGTATTTCAAAATCAATACAGAGTTACTGCCATGCCACACGAAAGCACTCCAATTGATCAAACTCTTTTATAAAATCTTTCAATTGAAATAATATCAACAATTCAACTTTCATATGTTCGATAAATATATTTGTTTTATTTTTCCACACGCTATGCAGTCGCCGACACGTAAACCCCGATGTTGATATTGCTGTGATTATGTTACTATGTGTTGGCAGCACCGTGGAGACAATAAACCCTTTACATTTAAGCGTACGTCACATATGGTGTGTGATGTTAATGTTAACTGTTTTAATTATATTATTTTTTTAACACAGAATCTCTATTATAAACCAACGTACGCCGACTCTTTCGTGATTTAACGCGCGATGTATGCGTTGCATGCACCCCGACCCCTACTAGTAGAATACACACATTGATGTTGCTAGAGTTTCGCTGGCGTGTCTGTATCGTAGACTAGTTTCGACGACCATTCAGTCGTATGTGTCTGTATGTTTGCCACATAACTCCATCCACAGTGTGCGCCGTAAAACAAATTACATGTATCAACAAAGCAGTCGTTTGACGCACACGAGATTTGTGAAGTGGCCCGTGTGTATATTTCAGGTGATGATACGTCTTGTATTTACTCTGGAATAACAGTGAACTTGGAATATCACGCAATAAAATGACGTCGATGTACAGCATCAGTGACACGAGTAATATACAGGTGTAGTTTTCGATCCACAGAGGACAACCAAGTGTTTTGAAGCGATTAGCAAGAGACAATGGGATAATATTAATCCACTCAGTCGGTGATATACATATATATATATATATATCGAGAGATTTAAACAATCCATTCAATATATTGTCAAAATACACAGTAAAACTAATTGTTTTGTTTTTTTGGTTTTTTTGCTGTGCATATTTTTCATCGAAATTTAAAACATCCACGAATTACAATGAGCAAAATATACGAATGCAGGAACGAGATAAACTAATCTTTTAACACAGGGCGTTCAATTTATTAAAATTGAATGATCTCTTTTTAACTAGCTAACTGGATTAGGCGTTCCACACATGTGACACAGCCCGCCGTGTTCTTTCATCGCAATGTGACACATTCACCGTGGACACATGTAACGTCTGCACTTCACTCAATAATTTATTGTTATCATATGTTGTATTGATTTGTTAGTTCGCTGATGTATTTTACCGACAGATGTGACGACGGGTCAGTTAAGAGTAGGTTCATTTCATTTCAAATTCAGACATTAAATGCAATAGCCTTGTAATGGCTGTGTAGTTGAGTTAACCTCACTGCGCATGTCCATCGTAAACTATGCATATTTGTGGAATACCTCTTTCCATATGCTAATGAGATTTATATCGATAAATTTGAGTGGATAGTGTATATTTTAGTAACGTTTATCGTTTAAATCTGGAATTACAGTGATAAATAGAAAAAAACTAATTTAAAAACAGTTATAACATCAAATACACCGTACAGTTAAACGAGTCAACACGAAAGTTAAATGAATGTACAACTTAAACTGAATTTTTATTTTTATTTTTAACCTGCAAAAAGAAGAAGAAAAAAAACATAGTAGGATTTAGGCATGCTTGGAGCTCCGAGCTTGTTGGCCACCTCGTGACCTCGAGGTAAAATTACGTTCTTTTTTCAGTAATGGTCGTCGTATTTTCACTGAAGCATATTTATTATTTGTTTGCAGGGTATTGGCAGACTACTATGAGCAGCATGATAACAAATCCGCCGTCTGTGATAGGACCGCGCTTTATTTACGAACCCCCTGGACAAGTGGATTTTTTGAACACGCAGGGCGGGAGAGTGGAATGTACGGCTCATGGACAGCCACAGCCGACCGTTAGATGGATTAAGTCAGATGGAACACCTGTAACGGACGTTGACGATATCTTGACGGTGCTACCAAACGGAACGCTAGTCTTTCCGCCATTTGCGGATTCCAGCTACAGCCGAGATACGCACGCTAGCGTGTACGTATGCATGGCGTCCAACAGCGCAGGCGCAATAAGAAGCAGGAACACGCGAGTAAACGCAGGTAAGTGAAGGGTATGATATATAGAAAATAATATTTGGTAATCGTAGTCCTAAATAACTATTAAAAATAGCTAGACGTTTCGAGCAATGGCTCTTTATCGATAGCATAGAAGAAAGTGAAGGGTATGTTTATTTGAGCACTATTGGTAATGAACGGGGAAAGGGCCAACCACAATAAGCTTGCATCATAGGAGCAACTAACAAGACATGGAAGTCTTCACTACACTCATTACGGATTATCCGTGGATGTGATTAACTGTATTTTTTTGGGGTAAATCTTTATAAATGTAGATTCAAATTCAAACAAGTGGTTCCGATTTGCTGTCGGGTGCTCTTCTTAATATATGCTGAGTTGATTGCTGATTGGACGCCCCCAAGGTCAATTCGATATTATAATCATACGCACTAGTGACGTCATTTTCACTTGCTGTGATTGATCGGGTGGTTTTCGACCGCATCTTGAGTTTCTAAATGTTCTCTGCAGTTCTGTCCAGTGTAATCGGTGGTTGATTCTTGGGTCAAGCAAGTCATCACGCCTCGTAGAATCATCAGTAGAATCTGCACACGCGTTTCACAAATAAAATTCCCGTGAGGGATCAGTATACAGTCTGTCAGGTTATCCGTGTGTTCCGAGTTCTTGTGACAAGACACAGTCATGTGACCATGATGTCACATCTCAGCAAAAAGACGGCGAACTCTGATGACCTTTCATAGCCTACTTTCAGTACGGAACAATCGAAAGTAAATTGCAGCTGTCGTTTCTTCTTTTTGTTTAAAGAATATTTATTACGTTAATGCACCACACGATATATTCAAGCTTTACGTAACCCTGGAATGCAAGCAAACAAGCGTCAATTGCCGTCAGTATGGTTGAACACCGACACTAACCAAACACTTGAATGCGCGCCTTCCAACGCTATAGCGTGCTTCCTGCAAATTACCTAACAACGGAGCTGCTGATTTGTACGAGTTACGGACATACCCACTTTTGAAAAACCACGCCCAAATTGTAACCCAATGTCCAATTAAAGATTAACTGAACTTCGAGATACGGGCAACATATATTTTTAATTTTGCAAAACGCCTACATTTAGTAACCCGAACTTTAACACATATTTGGTCAAGTCAATGGAAAATAACATGCGACTGGCAGGATAGGGGTTAATTAAATAACTCTTAAAGGGCGGCAGTCGTCGTGCCGCGTCCTGTTCGATATGGGACTCATAGCGACGTATACAACGCGTGTAAAATACATTGTTTTTTTTTACATGAAATTCGAACACGCGCTGCGCAACGACCGAACTTCGAGTTACGGGCAACATAGATTGTGGGTTCTGTTTAACGTTCACATTTAGCAACTCGAAGTTTTATTATTTGTAAACCGAGCTTCGAATTACTGGAAATACGCAAATATTATATTGTACGCCGATTCGCTTAATATTTGCATATAAAAGTGCACGGGTCGTTGTACAGCACACGATTGAATTTCATGTAAACAAACGAAGTATTTTACATGTGTTGTATAGAGATCGTCGCCGAACACGACGCGGCATAACGATCATCGTCGAACACGACGCGGCGTAACGGCAGCGCGTGTTCGAATTTCATGCAAAATAATCAATGTATTTTACACGCGTTGTATACGTCGCTATGAGTTCCATATCGAACAGGACGCGGCACGACGACTGCCGCCCTTTAAGCTTGAATCACACTTCAAACTTACACGGTGAGTGACAACCTAAACTTTACGCTAAATGTATAATATTTGAAAGCGTTGAACGCGCTCACTGGTGCAGCTTTACGACTTCCAAACAAGACTGTGTATTTTTTTTATAACTATATGTTATGGAGGTATGAATAGTCAATACTCCAATACACAATTACGTAACACTTTTGTTTGTTTTGTTTTTTAATCATAAGAACAATCCCAGACTCCCGATAATAATATGGCCGTGTAACAAAGGAAAACGCTGTTTACAGCCCGTGAAAACCAGATTGCTACCACGCCATGTAGTGTTTACTCGCAATTAATAATTCAAATATAGTTCTCGTTGTGTAAATAATAAAAACAACGAGTCTAACTTAATATTTTAATGCAAATTGTATGGTTTATTGTTGGGTCTGACAAGATATATGCGTCATGTAAGTGATATGGTCTTCACCCGCTTATAAGCACTGCCATTAATCGTGTGTAACCGTCGCAAGCCTCATTCTCACAACCCTCTCCCACGGTATACCGTCATCTTTGCAGTGTACTGCTACTGCTGCTATATTAAGCTGCCCAACGTGTACCGACTGATGAACTGACGAACATATGCCTGGATTGAGACGGCGTGACCTGAAGTTACTACAACGATAGGCAAGGACGATTTGTATTGGTTGAACAGACTGATGCGGGTTCCGATTCTTTTCGACGGTTCTATGATTGGGGATCGTGAACACCGTACATAGGGGTGACGTGAATAACAACCTGGTCACTTCGAATTCACCGCGACGCCTGGCCGAGCAGAGCTGAAATTATGCAAGCGGGGACAATGGTTGAGCTTTATCCACCCGAACAGACGTATCCTCGTCTGTTCAGCGTTCACGGTCAAAAGAAAAGTGGGATAGGAATTAATGCTCATATTTACTGCAGGATCTTCACTTTTAAAAATACAAGTGACTGTTATCGATGTGGGTGACACTCAGGCGACAGAATTGAGTCGCAACTAAAACCGAACTCCGTAATACTACACCAAACAGCAAAATTCCACGAAAAACGAAATGTAATTTTTAATGATTTTTGTTCTCACTTGGCATAAGGTTTGGCTCATTTGGATAAATATAGTTGAAAACGAGCAATTCGAACGAAAATACGATTCGGAACTATCAAGTTTAAGTTGTTTACCAATAAACGATAACTTTATTATTAGTGAGCGTCAAATATTTCGTAAAATAGCTTACTATATTTGGCGTATCATGTTGCTATCTCTGTTATTTGAAAGGCCGCAAAGGTCTTCAAGTTCACATCGCGACGTATTCGAAGTGAGTCCCACGCGACGTATGCAACGCTTGTACAGTCCACGAAATTATAATTTATCAACGATTACAGGTAATCTCGTTTCAAATGAAAAAATACACGCATCTACTCACTGGGCCTCAGCTGGTACGATTCCTTTGATGAGGGCGTGTTGACAGGAGGCCGTGATAATGGACAGCATCCGGACCATTATATTTATGATCATAAATGTCTAAAGTGCGTAACACATATTGAAAACATACCTGTATCAGCAACCTTGGTTGCGTACTCCATTCGACAACAACTATGTACACGATTAGGAAAACTACTCAAAAAGATTAAAAAATCACCAAAGTTTCAATATTTTGTACTTTGGACCCTATAAAATGTAAAAAGTTACCCACATATTATAACGTATTTATCATTGCTTCCCGACATTTACTCGTGTATTAATTGTGTGCGTTGGTGTGTGTATAGTGACCGGATATACATTTTATATATATTTTCTGTATATATTAAATTGATATTCAAACAACAAAAATAGAATAATGCTTTCACCATTGCAAATGTGTGTGTACACAGCGTCACAGTGTTCACTGGTGACTGCGAACTGCAGTAAACAGTTTTGACGTTAATTTCAAGTTTTTACCTACGTGCGTAGAGAGACAGTGAAGAAAATTGCTTTTGGTGGGCGTGCGTCCGTCTATTTTGATCACGTGGTGCACACGAATTGCAAACGGGTACGTCCCTGGATATAAGAGAGCTTCGTGTGCGCATGGGTTTCTGCGCAGATGTCACAGCCAACATTTACTTTAACCACCGGAATAATCCATAAATTGATCAATATATAACAAGAATGAACAGTCAACTTCGATTTGACACATTGCAGTTAATTTAGTCAAATTGTTTACTTTGGAAACCTCCAACAACACTAGAAAATACTTACATCTGAAATGTCTGTAGTACTGTTAATTTTGTTGAATACAATGTGGTTTTTATGATTCAATCCTTTTTGGCACTTTTAATTATATTGGCATACTACTACAGCGAAAATATATAAAAAATGAAAAAAACAAAGACGGATTTGCGTAAAATGTGTCTATAGGCAATGTAAATGAAATATGAATGTTTCAAATTTAGGTTTGCTGGGAAATGGTAGCCATTATGATTCTTTGATTTTAAAAACGACTTCAAGAATAAACAAACATCATTACAGTGTATACAGAGACTGCACGCAAGGAAAAACGCTGTTTACACCTCGTGAAAGCCAGATTGCTATCACGCAATGCAGTGTTTACTTGCAATTAATTATTCAAATATAGTTCTAGTTGTGTAAATAATAAAAACAAGGGGTCTAACTTAACATTTTAATGCAAATTGTTGGGTGTGACACGATATATGCGTTATGTCTGTGATACGTAGCGTAGTCACCAAATTCTAAGTAGACACTACCTTGACGATCTTTCCTATTATAGCTATTTTATATGAATATTTAATTCTGTTAGTTCGCGTAAATAAACAATGTGTCATTACCCCTCATCATTTTTTAATGCAACCTTGGTTTTGATTTAAAGAAAAAAGAAAAAGTAAAAAAAAATATCGCAAAATAAATGTATTTCACTTACGCGTAGTGCACTGTACGCGTAGGTACGCGCCTTGATATGAAGACGAAAATAACGTGGGCAGAGTATTTGGTTTATGCGGGCAATTCGTTGCATCATGGATGTCAAGCGAGAGAACACACGGGCAAATAAACATAACACAGCGTTCAAGTAAAAATAATAATGTATGGTCATTACAACGTCATTGACTATTTTCCGAAGTTATAACGCTTCGCTCGCCACATGGGCATTCTTTTTAAAGTGTAATCCCCACTTTGAAAATATGTAAAACATCACTCCCAGAATTCCCAGCTAAGAACAAATATATCAGTTATACTGCACTAACTCATTCAATGTATATTTGTATGTGTATATATCGTACAGGGATGGTATCTCACGCGC